ATGTGTATAAGTATCTTGGAGAAAAGCCCAGGACAAACCATGGCAGAACACAGTATCATCAGTTACCGCTCTTTGACTTTGTTTTAGCTCGCTCAAATTAAGTTACGGTACTCTGCATTTGTTTAGCCATCCGTCAATATTACTGTGCCAGCCTGGAGTTATACGGTATTCTGCCTTTGTTTTACTGTACATTAATGCCATGACATGCCATGACAGCGTATCACATAAAATCAGTTACTGTTCGCAATTAAGTCAGTTTCCTACCTTTTCTTGTAACTCGATAAAAAACATTGCACCTGTCACTCAAGTGGCCACGCCCTTAATTATGCAGAACTTTAAGGCTTAATATAATTTAAACGGATCAGTTATAAAAAAATTCACCCCCTTCACAGTTGTCATGAAGGGCAAAATTACCTATATAGACCAAAAGCACTTTTTGTACCAGGCTGTAAACATATTTTTTTCTGCTGTAAAGTTGGGCATTTTAACATGGGGAGTCTATGGGACTGACTCCCTTTTGGAGCCAGCCTCTAGCGGCCAGTTGACGAATTGCAGTTTTAGTCACTTACGTATTGGCTTCAAGCGAGAGACCGGGAGGTTGCCGCTTGGTTTTCAAAAACGGGACGTCTGGTCACCTTATCCCTACCCCTTCGGGTGCTGAGGCCATTGTTTCAGATCGCTAGTTCGCATTTTGGTAGCCTATCCATCCACTGCGGCTGCCATACTGAGACTAGATATGCAAACTAGAGCTGGGTAAAAAAATATCGATATCTCGATTTTAATCGATTCTCATTTTTACAGAACGATATCGATTCTTAAATCCCAAGAATCGATTAGTCTAGCCTGTGTTCAGTTAATGGACGGAACATTGAAGGGCACTTAATTCCCATCCAATATATCGCAATAAGCACTGTGTTTGGTACTTTTAATATGAGACAAAGTCTCATATTTCAAATTCTGTCCATTGTATTGCAGTATTCAAACAATAAATGCCGTTTTGGCGCTGTTTAATCTGGAGTGACAGATCGCTGTAGCGCCTCAGTTCAACAGACACGGCAGCGCGTAGCGCACGTGAACTGATCATCTCCTCCATATTAATACCATATTAATACCAGTTTCAGCACAAAATAAACATGACTTAACATCCGGAGGTAAGCTAAAAGAAAGAGTATAACTTTACAATCCGTATCCTGTCTCATGTAATCGCTCAAATAGTGTTTCAGCCGCACAAAGACGTCAATATAATGTCTTGTAAACAATGTCACGTTTACAAATGTGTGGTCACATTTACCACAGAAAAAAACATATTCGGTGACCAAGAACTCATTAGTCAGCTAGAAAAATAAACTGGAGAGAGGGGCATGTTGCTAAATATATGCACCATATAACATTTTCATTATAATTTTTACTGTTCTTCAGTGTTTAATTTATGTTTGAATAAATCCATCAAGTTTTATGATTTAAGCCACCATTTAAATGTTTATAGCCTATTAAAAAAAACGAATTGAAGTAGAAATATTATGTAATTGTACATTTATTATTTTAAAAACTTCAATTGAATCGAATCGAATCGAATCGTGAAATTTGTGTCAAAACCCAGGGTGCAGGCCAGGGTGGCATAAGAGGTGGTCATATATGCATCTATTTTTTTTGACGTAATAATCACAGAATTAGATATGTTTAATCCTACAAATTTAAACCACCTGGCAATTTCCCCTCAAAAGCACAAAAAAGCATGCATTTATTTTAGGGAACAAACCATTACCTGCTTGACTGCTGGGCTTGGCCCTTCCCTTGGGGATTGTTGGCAGCAGAAGATCCATGGCCTGGGTTGGGGTGGGCACCTTCTGGTTCCTGTCTAACAGGGGCTTGACATCTTCAGAGGCTCCCAGTACTAATGCCGGCTCTTTCTTATCAGCTAGAAGGTTCCCTGCTGCTCGTGCGGCCACCTCCTTTAGCAGAGCTGCTGAGGAGGTCATGGAAACCAGAGAGAGAAAGGAGCCAGCTGAGGGTTGATGCTCAGATGAGCCCACCTGCTGCTGACTTCTTTCAGACACTTTCTTTGAGAGGGCAGCAAGCGTGGAGCTGGCTGACTGCGGACTGAAGGGTGAAGCGAACGGTTCAAAGCGCACCGCGTCATCAGAGCGAGTGCCCAGGGCTGCCATTGAGGAGGAGGTGACTGACGAGGATGATGAGGAGGAAGAGGAGGATGAAGACGCCGAGGTGGAGGAGGCCACCGCGCTCTTGTCTTGGAGCACGGCGTTGGCGGCTGCCTTTAACTTCTGGATAGCTGAGTCTGGTGATAAGCTGCTGCCACTGGGTGCTGAGCAACTAGTCGACGGCCATTTATCTGCAACACCTACCCATACGAAGCCACTGCTGCCTGAGTTAGGGCCATTGCTGGGGCCATATGGGTCACAGGGCTCCTGCTTGACAGTTGCTACAGACGCAGGTGATGCAGAGTTCGAGTTGCCACTGTTGTTGCTGCTGCTGTTAGCCAACCTCCTCGCCAGGGCACTCAGCTGCTGTGCATGATGTGAAGATGGAGATAGTAGCAAGCTGACCGGGGGCGACTCTGGTCCTCTTCCCGTTCCACGCCCACTCAGGTCGCCTCCCTCCAGCTTCAGTGAGCCAGCCTCCAGGAGACGCCGCAGGTTGCTGCTGAGGGGCTTGCCCAGGGCCTGGCTGGTGTCTCCATAAAGAGAGGACACCTCAGAGGAAAGCATGTCCCGGGTCGAGAGGATCACACTGTCCAGCCCCAGCAGCTCCAGGGAAGCCCGCTGAACTGGCGTCGGGCAGCCCAGGGAGCTCTCGGCTGAGGTGTCGTGGTCCGGTCGGGGAACATCGTCCGGGGAAACCCGCAGCTCATCTTGCACATCACCGTAGGATGATTCAGAGGGGCTGTCTGAGGTATTCCCAAACCAGCTGTCCTCCTCTACTGAGCCACCCTCTGGCCCTCCATCTTCTACCGTGTCCACATCTGTGAAACGGGAAAAAAAACATGATTCATTCAAATGCTTTTTCAGCAAGACAACTGACAATACTTAATTTTCATTTGTTGTATTCTATAAAACGAGCATCTTATTAAAATATATATGTAATGGCATGATTATCAATAAATGCTGGAGGAAAAATCTGTTAGGGCAAAATGCTGACAGCATTGTCCTTATAGCCATTGATTGACCTTTTCCAAGTGACTTTTCTCATTAGGACTAAAATGGATGGTTTGAAAAAAAAAATGTTCTAAAAAGATGAGTGATATAATTCAATTGAGAGTTGCCCTGGTGAGTGTCTGACGCATCCCTCATAACGCACAGTGGAATAACTTGCCTTTTATTCGTTTTTCAACCATGTTTTTTTTCCAAGGGTCTAAAAGAGTGTAGTAAAAGGGTTACCATGGTGACAGGCCCTTCCGGGAGGCTAGACAGCAAAGATTAGGGTAATGGAGGTTACACAACTGGATTAATATTCATGAGCTTGCCGATACCACAAGGGAGCCAATAAGGATAGGGTTAAGGTCACCAAGGGTCATTAATATACACTTCATGTATCAATATTCATAAGCAAAACATTACAGCTTGCCAGACAAGGGCGAACAAAGAATGTGAATATTCCTGATACATATTAACAATTCCTCCACACGAGCATGTCAGAAAGCAACAAGCCTAGATGAGGGAGGATGTCAAAACTTATCAAGTGAGGGTTTTTTCTGTATGTTCACTTGACCAAATTAAATCCTCACACCTCGGTGAGAGTATAAGAGAACAAGACCTAGAGACAGCAGGAAAAAAGGTTGGGGACTTGTGACACCGGAATATGATCTGTAAGAAAATTCATTTGAGCATCTTTTCTTCGCCTTTTGCTCGCACACATAAAGACTGGTCTCACCTTGCCGACCCCAACATAAGCCTGGTGAGTAAGCCCTCTGTTTACAGGGAAAAGGAAAAGCCGTTGCCTGGCAACGGTATCCCGTCGACCCGTAGGGATCATTACAGTCAACACACATCTGGCCAGCACTGCTTACTTTGGTCCAAAGGGGTGGCAACTGCCACGACCCCATGCGACCATGCACCATGATACTGACAATGCAGCAGAGCATGCTTCTTAACTTGAAAAATAAAAGAAAATAAGATATAAACCCGATACACACACATCCCTTGATGTGAATGCGATTATGTGCAAGCGTTCTCCTGACTTTCCGTACTTTATCGTTAAAGGTTTGAGCGTTTGATGCACATCACCAGGGCGTTTCACTGACCAAGCTCTCGGTCACCTGAGCAAAACAGTGAAGTATGTGAGGCATGACCCATTTCCATGTGACACCAGGGAGGATGGGCAGTAATGGCCATAATGTTGTTAGTGAGAAATGGCTAGATTGCTAACCAGAGGTCTCTGAGGCAGTGGTAGAAACTCGGACTGAACCCTGCTCTCGCCCCGCTAGGTTAAGCTAGGTTGTGCTATGCTCCACTCTTGTTCCTAGCTGCACCAGAGAGGCAGACACAGGCAAGCCACTCCGTGGGCGGCCTGACATTTCCCAAGGTCACGGCTCGGGCCCCAGTTCCGCATGGCTTTGTCTGAAACAACCCCCTGCCTCTAAAACGCACACACGCACATACACTCTCGTATGTGGCTTGAAAAATGGGAACAAAACCCTGGTAGTTAGCTGAAATGGCAACAATGCTATCGCATAGCAACAAGCTTGACAGTTTGGGACAAGGGACAAGATACTGGCCGTCTGCCTTTGAGAGGTTCGTTTAATGGCATAATGGTGAGCATGACTTTGTGTGGCCAGAAAAACAGCTGCGGGAGGCACTGTGGTCCAGATCTGTTATCAGTCACACACTGAGACTTGGTGCTCGTATCTCTTGAGGATAAACTGAGTTTATGATTGTGTCTGCTGTGGACATGACCCTACAACCCTACAACCACAAGCGCGAAATGCAAATCATAACCTCAACAAAATATAAAAAGAAAGAAGAGTGTTACATTCAAGCTCTGAAATTAACTTTTTAGCCTACCAGACAGATTTCTCACAGCCAATTTAGTAAAACAACAAAAAACTAACAGATATTACAAATTAATGATTATGTTCTCTAGAGTTTAAATTAGAAATGTTTTTAAAAATAAAGGTTAAGATAAACATGTTATACTGTAATCTGCATAATAGAAAGTCAAATGCCCTTTACAAAAAAAGGTAAAACAACGATGTTAAACGATTTTGAAGTTGGAGGAGAAAATGAGATGGAGGAAATTTTTATTCTGGAAATCCTTTAACAGGAATGTTATAGAAACCCATTTAAATTCCCTCTTTTGGACATAATCATTTTTATGTAAATATAATGGACACAATTTCCTGTATACATTTGTCGTCCAAAAAGTATTTTATGAAAATGTATATTTAAAATGATTGCGCTCATTTCTCTGATGTGCTCCGTCTAATTGACAAACATGTACGTGTGTATTTGCTCAGTAAAGTCCAAATTTGTGTACTGTCAGAGTATATACTGAACTGGATAAAATACTTCTTGACTGTTCAAAAAAAAGTATGTTGTATAAGTATGCATGTGTGTAAAATAAAGTCCAGACATTACACTACCAATTAGACTTGGAAAACATCTTAAGGACCTCGTTAATTCTGTTTTGTTCTTTGCCACAGTACATGGATCTAGTGTAATTGTGGCCTATACTTCTCGGGATTCATTTGAACAACAGCCGTTGGCAGCTATACAGTTAATGCCACAACATCTCAGCTGTGAGATGCAATAAGCCAAAAGGCCAAGGAGGAGGCTGGGAGCATTCTCTATTAGGGCCAGCAGCCACATGACTTGCATATGGTTGCCTACCAATACACTGAGGCTATTCTGTGACTCAGTCGGGCATGAAAATCGGCCTGCCTGACCCAGAGGTCGCAGAAAGGGCACAGAAAGGCTGTGCTGGGTGAGAGGGAGGCTGCTTCAGCAGAGTGAAGGAGAGAGGGAGAGGCCATTAGTCGATTAAGTTGGGGTGGAGCCATCAATATTCCACTGATGCCAATGAAAAGACACACTCGCACAGTCTCGCATGAGAGGCTCGGGTCGAATAGCTTTAACTCTATCAGAGATATTGCAGTGCCTCAAAGTGAGGGCTGCTATCGAATGTTACAGGCTAACTAACCACCACTTTGGCATCTATACTTTCCCAGCATTCTCTGTGGATTGCAGAAGCAAGTGCCGGTGGCGTTCGAGAGGTGGGGGGCTGGGTTTTGGAGGGGAGATAAAAAGTGGTGGCGGTAATTAAGTGTCCGACTGGGCCCTGGCGGGGGTTGCCACGGCCGCAGGCGATGCTAATGAGCCCGTCCGCCGGTCAGTGCTACCTTATTAGCCGCCGGCCGACAATATGGTGGGAAGGACACGCTGCTACCGCCACCAGCCACACATCGTCACGAGTGACTAATGCAGAACCAGAGGTGGGAAGTAATCCTGTTAATTAGGGGGCAATCAGTCAAGGCAAAACTAAGATTCTGCAAATACAATCATATATCGATATGTCACGATTTATTTTCTTGCAATATTGCATCATCCTCAAGGTTCTCATATCGATCCTTGTTCATTCATATTGTTTCCCGCAGTTCAATTAATGAAGAAGCAGGAAGTCTAAATAAGCAAAAACTGGCAACCAGCGTTTCTCAGTGCGGTCTGAGACACTTCTATAGTAATGGAAAAAAGTGAATGGAACCGCATGAGAGACACCACAGATTACAACTCTCTCTCACTGAAATGCTGAGTCTCTCTCTCTCAGTCACAATTCAGTTATGATATAATGAAACGTCACAATGTATTAAATCGAGAGAAAAGTGTGCTGTAACATATACCCAACCCTAGCATCTTAAATGATCACTTAAGACATGAAATCCCATCCCATTAAACACACAAAAAAACCTCTTTATATATCATGATACACTATAAATCAATTCTGGTAACAAAGCAGACCACCCCCATTCTTACAACAATAAAACGTAACAAACATCAATTAAACAAAAACAGTTGTTGATCATGTTTGACTAAGGTTGGTAAAATAAAGTACTGTGAAATTCTTCTAACATCATACTGAATTCAAACACGGACAGCAAATATAAATGTTTTAATAATTACTATTTTTTGGAATTCAAAAAATAAAAATGATATTCTTACCTAATGCATTGTCAAAATAAATGTCCATGGAATCAAAATGACCAATCAACATTCGCCATCAAAATAATTTCACATGCAAATCTGTTTTCTAAAATAAAAGTCTTAATAGCCAATAGGTCTGTCAATATTGACCAAACTGGTAATCAGAAGTGATCTAAATTTGGGAAAATTCACAATTAAATTAAAAAAAGGAAGAAGAAAAAGAAGAAGTGAACAAGAGCATAGCATGCTTAGCATTTCAGAGCATAGCATTTCAAATAATTGAAAATTACTTATATACTTATATAAAATATATATATAAAAGATATATATATATATATATATATATATAATATAAGGTTATA